TCACTGTAGGGTACCAGGAAGTCAGGGTGTAACTGTTTTCCTCCTCTGTAAGAAAGGTTCAAGGTCCTGTAAACTTGTCATCTCGTGCTCTGTCCCTTTTGACACAACCTGCATAAGAGCAAATACCACTTGTATGCAGCCAGCTGCCTGGCAGTTTTCACAGAGAACTAAACACAACAATTTCTACGTGACTGTGAGATATTGTTCCCATTTTACAGTCGAGAAGAGCGAGGCTCAGAGAGATTCCATGATGATTCAGATGTGTCAGAGGTACTGAGGGCCAGTTTAGGACCCTATGTGTCCTCTTGTTTGTTTTTTCTTTTTTCTTTTTTAACATCACCACTGCTTCAAAGTGCCTTATGGGGATGAGGCTAGAAACATGTCTAACTTGTTAGCACTTAATATCAGAGAAAAGCAAGCAAGCAAAAACGCTTCATGCTATTTCAACACCCCCTTTCACCAGAGCAAGGATGGTTCCCCTCCTTCTGGAGTGATTCTCCTGGAGCCTAAGGGGATCTGAAAGATTGACCGGCTTCCCCGGGTTCTAGTAGGTGTTAGTTAAGTGTGTAGCAGTAGTAGAAGGTCTGGCTTTCAGGAAGGGGCCTGACTCAGATTGACAGCAGCCACCTGGAGAGATGGCTTTGCAGGGGACAGAGCTCGGCAGGTCAGCTGAGCCGTGGGTGATCCCCTGGCCAGTCACGAATGGCCACTGTCTTGGTCCACTCACCCAGGGGTACGTCAGGGAGCCCCTTACCGAAGGGAAGTGAGGAAAAGATGGAAGTGGGTGTGTCATCAAGAAAACTGGCCTTGCTTCAAGAGGGTTGTTGGGATGGCTGCCAGGTCCAGGGGCCGCGGGAGAGAGGCAGGGCAACATGGGTCCCTGACAGGGCAGAGATGAACAGCAGATGCTCTAAGGTCCACTGGCGACCCAGTACCAGGCCTTACTCCCTAAATAGATGTTTCCATCCCCAAATCTGTAACTCCCTGCTTCTGAGCACAGTTTCCCCTGGACTGTGGCCTGACACAAAAATGGCAGCTCATGCCTTCTCCCTGACTAAGTGGCCTGTTCAAGGCAAGGGAGACATGGCTGGAACCCTCTGCAGTGGGAGGGTGACCTTGCCCAAGCACAGGCCGTATGGCCAGCAGCCGCCCCTCTGGGTCCCTGAGCCCACGGGCAGGGGGCAGGGACCCCCGGAAGGCCCACCACCTGCAGAGGCCCCGGCGAATCACGGGGAGACCCTACATGCATCTGGTCTTCTGGCACCCCCAAAATGCCCTCACATGTTAAAGCTCAAATCAGACATGTGAAGGGAAACTGGTCATATGGGAAAATTCAGAATTGTAACATAAACAAACATCCCTTAATTGATCCATTTTATGTATCCAGGGTTTTGTGAATCATATGTTCTTAGAATGATACACATCTTGGTTCACTAAACTGTAAAAGAAAGGTTGGGTTTTTCTTATTTAAAAAAAAGCTATTCTTTAATTTTTTTCCCAAAGCCTAACTATGAACCACTGGAAGTTGGGGTGGAGGCGTGGGCGGAATATTGCTAAGAGTGTGTTTCTGGTCAGTGATTGAAGGAGGAGTGGAAGGGAGCCCAGACCTCGCCTTAAAGGCTGTGTGTATGTGCGTGTGTGTGTGTACATATGTAGGTACATGAGTGTATGCCAATGTGTGAGTGTGTGAGTATACTGCATGAATGTGTATGTTTGTGTGTGTGAATGTGGATGCATTTGTGTATATGTGTGTGAATGTATATCTACACGTTTGGACATGTGTGAAAGTGCTGTGACCGTGTGGTCACTGTGTGTATATGTGAATGTGTGTCTCTGTGACTGTGAGTGCATGAGATTATGTCTGTGTGTATGTATGTGAGTGTGCACGTATGTAGTGTGTGCACATGTGTCTGTCTGTCCGTCTGGACAGGAGGGCTTGGGCATACATTGAATTCCTGGGGATGGTCCCGTTGATCACAGGAGACCTACTGAGAACTCTGGTCTCTGAAAGTTCTTTCCTGAGCTAAATTCTATCGTTCCATCCCTACTTGCTGGACCGTGTCCAGAAAGTACAACTTTGTGACACATATTCTTTCTCAGCCTACATTTGGAGATTCTATGTTCAGAAGTAAAGCAAATTTTTTCTGAATTGTCCAGCCTCTTGGGCAACTAAAAGCAAGAACGGAATCCCCTCAGCCTGAGAACCTTCCCACGATCAGCCTCAAAGGAGTGCTGCACTCACAACTTGTATTTGCATTCTGCATGGTATGTTTGGAAGAACAAATGCATGTCGTTTGGAAAAAACCCACACCTAATAAAGACTTTAAGCCAGCTGAACAGCCCTGGAATATTTCCCACCTTCCCACATATGAATAGCTTTGTAGGGGCCTCTGAAGGGGGTGTGCGGGGCAGGGCCCCCGGGAGGGGAAGGCTGCCAGGAACCAGCCGATTTCCTACAAATACACTTAAAAATGGATCAGTCCGCAGGGCCTCTATTTCAGCCACCTGGACAAGGACAGGTCACACGTGTTTTTTCAGACCTCTTTAAGGCTCCATTAGAATGTCTTTGTGGGTCACAATTCAAATACAGATAATCTCGAATTCAACTACTGATTATCTCTGGTTCAAAGTCGCTCTTGCCATTTTAAAGGAAGCTCATTCCCATTCATTTTACTTCTTTAAATCTCAGTGGGGTCCCCCTTCTAAAGTTCCTGTAAGTATTAACTCCTATCCCATCCTACCTTTTTGAAAGAGAATTATAGTACAGGACTATCCCTAGGTTGGTGTGGATCAGGGTCATTTTAGTGATGTGTGTCCTGGGGCAAATCATATCCTGGGACTTACCCCACACCTTTTCCCATCAGGCAGGGGATCAGGTGAAACGATACACACACACACAGACGACACACACACACACACACACACACACACACACACACACACACACATCTCAGTGGAGAATGCAAAGTAAAAAAAGAAAAATCAAAGATATTGGTTCCATGTAAACATTTTTATAATTCATTTAATTTTTAAGGCATCACGGAGTTCATGTAGATTACTTTAACCTCTAAAAATACAAAGTTTGCACTGGTAACAATGGGTAGTCAATTCACTTACTAAGTTTAAATGTAACACGGTATAACTCACCTTAAAAATCTGACTCCTAAACAGATGTGAAACAGGAATCATGGCGGCACATGCTAGACACAACCTCCAAAAATACATGGCTAACAAAGCAAGTGGAGGGCTGGGGTAGGCCGCCCCCAGTAAAACCGTAGCATCCAGCAAGAGGGGAGAGAAAGTGGCCACCATCTCAAGGATTTTTTTTCTCTCACTAGACATCTTTCACTAAATCCCAGAACGGTTACTGTTAATGCATTTTCCTCTCTTCCAAATGAATCGCCCGGTGAGCAGGTGTATGTATTTTTTTTCTAACGAGCATTTAACATCAACCACATGCTGTCACCAACTGGACAAGCAGGTCTTCTGGAAGGTGTGTACAAATGTCAAAGGGACACAGCCTGGCAGATAACACTCAAACCCAGTGAATGAGTATGGAAACAGCCTCCCATTCTGTCATCCAAGGCTTGATTAGGAGCCGGGCCCCAGCCCATAGGGAGCTGCGCCTGAGGGGCTGGCTCACAGATGGGGCAGGGGAAGTCACAGATGAACCAGAAACTCTTTTGACTCAGCTGTTTCCACTTCCTCCCCAGCATGACCATTTGCCAGAACTGCCCAAGAAGAGTCCCCATGAATCTAAACTCTCTGGATTTTCCTTGCTTGACCTTGAAATGACACTAGAGAGAGTAGAGAAGCAACCAGATCCAGGCTAGCCCTACACGGCATCATGGCTGAAGAGCCGCAGTGTTATGTCTTGGAGAGAGTGGCCATCAGAAGGGATAAAGGTGTGCTTGGTCCACATTTCAACACATGGCAGGGAGATTCTGCAACACACAGCTGATATCAAGAGTCCTCCTGAAGGGATGGTCTCTGTGACGGGGGAAGCAAGAGAAGTCCCCCGAAAGGGAGCCGGAAAGGGACACAGACAGGCACCCTCCTCCATCCCCTCCCTGGAACCAGGGGCAGTGGCATCACGGAGGCAGGAACAAGGCAGGTGGGGACCCTCCATGGCTTCTGGTCCCTGCTTGTCCCTGCAAGTCCCTGTGGGTCTGTGACCCTACAGTTCTCCATCCCTGTGAAACTTGGCCACAAGCGCCCTCTTGAGCTCTGCATTGCTGAATCTGTTGTTTTAGGTCCTCTATGGCTGACCATAAAGGCATTACCAAGGGGTCCCCTCACCGGTCCTTGAAAATAAACTAACACAATACCACGGAGGCATGAAATTATGTGCGGTGTGAATGCGTGTGTGAGAAAGAGAGAGTCTGAGGATTTGGAAGATGTTCACCAATAAATAAGTTATCAGTAGTTATCTAAGTGTAGTGAAAGTTTAGGTGATCTTTTTCTTTCTTCTTTATACCCTCTGACATTGTTTTAAAATATTAAAATAAGCGTGTAATTTGTAATTACAAAAACAGAATTTTCATTCTGAAAAAAATTAAACTACTATTTTAGAGCAGAAAAAAATAGGCTATGCGTGATTAAAAACTATCAGAGACAGATACAATTTTTTAAATAAAGGCGGAATTGAACCGAACCTTATTTGCTTTGAAACTTAAACTGCAAGACACATGCCCTAAATGTCGTGGATTACAGATATTTAGGGCATGTGTTGCAGCTCCCAGAATGTTAAAGACATAAATGAATATAAACTGGATAATTGGTGTGTATAACAACAGATACTGGTATTATTCAGATACACAAGGTGACAATTTACAAGGCTATGTATCCTTTGGTGTTGAGTGGGTCACGCTATGGCCTGTGCACTGTTAAAATATGGGCATTATTTTGCAAAGGATGGTTATTGGGAGGGAAACACAAAGGACACACTCTTTTCATAGTCTAGCTCATACGACTGAGATGAGACAGAAAACACCCCGACTTCACTTCATTCTTTTTGCAACATCCGAATATGCGTGTTCTATCTCCTGGTTGGCTGGACACGTGTTTGTGAACTCATCCCTAGCATACGCATTGTTCAAGTATCTCCAGATGCCAGTCATTTCAGAAGGAAATTCAAAATCTCTGTATCTCTTGGCCACGATCTGAAAATGAAGAGGAAATAGTCAGAAAGGGACAACCCACTAACACAGGCAGTTAGATCAGACAATCCATTCTCTTGAGGCATGTAATATATTCTCTTTCTCAAGTTGCCATGTCGTCCTATAGCTGTTCGGGCTGCTCTGAGCTGCATTTTGAGTTTGCACTGGGCATACTGAGCGTGGGACTCAAAACAGAGGCTCTACACAACCGTGCCCACCAATTTATCACAGACAATCCTTGTGATGCACTGGCATGAATTTGCTCCGTACTCCAGTGGATTTCTCTTTGTGTTTCTGGCAGTTGTCTCTCCCTGTGTTCTGCTGCTGTGTTATTTGGTGCCTGAGGTTCATGTTGTATCTTCAGTTTAGATTGTGACAGGATCACTGTGAAGTGCCCTTTCTTTTTCCTATTTGCTGAGCCTCACCTCCTGAAATCCCAAATACCTGTGTATGTTACTCCTGTGGATTTCTATCATTCTGCCCCGGCAGGATCATTTCACTGTGGGTCTACCGTGTGCAAAAAATCCTTATTCTTATTCTCGTGGAAACAGTCGATGTGCGGACAGGGTAGCTGAGGATGAACATCATGAAAACACAATGATGTGAGATGTTTCCTCTGGCTGGAAGGGTACCATTGGGGAATTCATCACAAAAGAGGGTGTATACTGTTGGAGATAGTATGAGTTTCCTGGAGTTGCCTTAACAAAGCACTACAAGCTTGGGTGGCTTGGAACAACAGAAATTTATTCTCCCACAGTTCTGGAGGCCAGAAGTCCAAGATCAAGGTGTCAGGAGAGCCGGGCTCCCTCTGAAGGCTCTGGGGAAGGACCTGTTCCAGGTCCCTCCCCCAGCTTCTGGCTTGTGGGAGCACAGCTCCAATCTTCACATGGCGTTTTCCCTGTGCTGGTGTGTCTGTGTCCAAATTCCCTTTTATAAGGACACCAGTCATGTTGGGTTAGGGGGCCCATCCTACTCACCCTAACTAATAACATCTGCAAAGACCCTATTTCCAAATAAGGTCACGTTCTTAGGTACTGGGAGTTAGGACTTGAACATATAAATTTGGGGGGACATGATTCATCCCATAACAAGGAGCCAGGGTTACAACGGCCCGTTCTGCTTTGTTCCTTTCCATTGTATTGGCTCCTGGGACGTTTGGATGGCGTGAGCATGGAATGTATCACCAATGAGAAGATCTTCGGAACTTATTTCTCAGATTTCGGAGGTCAGGAGCTATTGATGCAGTAAAACAAGACCACAGAACTTTCAGAGAGCCTCCTAAATTTACATCTTTTGCTTGAATTCAAACTTACTGACGTTGATGTCAAGAATTCTGCTTTCCTTTTGTTTGCATTTGCCTGGCTTAGCTTTGCCCCTCTTTTTATTTTAGCATTTCTGAGTAAGTTTGTTATCTATATGCCTTTCATAGACATAAGCTTATATTTGTATTGTATCTTATGAATGTAATACTTTGTTTTCCAACTTTCTGTGAATATTTTTGCGTTCATGTGTGTGTATGTGTTTCCCTTTCTGGTGGTTTAGAAGGTTTATGGTCTGTTTTAACTCTTCCAGTGGTTTCTTATGTAACTTTAAATAATAAGAATTCTTTATTTCTTGATTTATCAACTTTAGATGATCTCTACTTACTTCTGATAATGACAAATGAGGAAATTAGTATACCTACACTTCTTTTCTTTTCTGCTCCCTTATCCTCTTTCCAATGGTGTAAAACATCCAAGTTTACTATATTCTGTTTCTTTCCAGTAGCTATAATTCCCACTGCTGTTTAGGCTTAGTTCTGGTTTTAGACTTAAATAGGCTCTATGTTTATCATCAGTCCTTCTATACCACACACCTTCTCTGTTCCTGGATTCTTATTTTATTATCATTTTTTTATTATTTCATCATATAGCAATTTTATTTTTAAAAATGGCTCAGGAGTGCTTATTTCATTGAGACCAGAAGTCTAGGTAAAAACAACAATTTACAAGGATATAAAGTTCTTATATCACACATCTTTTCTTTTAATCCTTTAACTATTAAACCACTGTTTCCTGGGTTTTAATGTGGTCCTAGAGACATATGAGGCTAGTCTGAATTCCCTCCTTGTGTAGGTGGCTTTATCTTTTATTACTGTTATTATCACCATTAGCATCATCATCATCATCATCATCATCTAGACACCCAAAGGGTTCTGTTTTATCCTCAAAGTTCAGTAATTTGCCAAATATGTGATAGTGTGTTGATTGTTCTGGGCAATATTTTTCTAATCATGACATGTTAAACTAAAGGTTCAGGTCACCCCGTAGTTCAAAATAATTTACCTTTGAGCCTTCTTTTTCCTCTCTTTTTTCTTTCCTGTTCTCTTTTTTCTGATTATGGGGTCTCGCTAATTACCCTTTACCTCCTGCTGCTTCTCCATCTGATTTGGGATAATCTTCTCAGGCCCATCCTCCGATGTCTGATGAATTTCTGCAATGTCTTTTCCCACTTCTTGCTACTCCTAACATCACTTTTGTTTCTGAAATTATTTTCTTTAAGGGTGTTTTTTAGTTCTACCAGCTTAATTCTCATCTTCCTTGTGACGTTATATTTTTTGGTATCTTGTGACTTGTCTTTGAGCGTTTTCACCAAAGGCTCTCCTTCACTTTTTTGAGGTCACAGAGAAGTGTCTGTCTGAAAAATTCTTTGGTTTACTGGAGCAATCTTTATCCGGTACGTGTTTCTCATCTGCCTTTGCCTCTTTTGTTCTTTCTTTAACCTTTCCCCCCTCCTTTTGCATCGTCTCTGTCCACATAGAAATCCCACTTGGATTCTTTCTGGTTATTAACCATCTTTTAATGGGCGGATCTATTGGACCTACCACTTGTTGAAAAACAGTGTGGTGGGCAAAGGGAGTGAGGCAGGGCAGCAGGTAGACCAATATGGATTTTACCCCCAAACACCCGCTGATCGAACGCTGCTCTATACTCTGTCCCAGGGACACATTAGGGTTAGGGCTAGAGTCAGGGTCAAAGTCAAGGTTAGTGCATCCTCCACTCTGAGGCTCACAGATTCGGAAGCGGTCACCATGGCTAAAAGTGGAGCTCAGATGATTTACAGTCTCTCCTTTGACTCGGTCAGAGCTCGTTTCTTTCCTCCGCTCAGCAGTCACAAAGCAGAATATGCCACTTGCCCTCTCTCCTCCCCTTCACCTCCCCTCCCTGTACCTTTGCAGTGGAGGACGGTGGTGAACACACAGATGGCGCCTCTGAACAGTTCCACCTTCAACTCTGCCTCCACAGAGATCTCAGCTCTGTAGGGGTGGTCCTGCCTCTCTCGTGGCCCACTCCGTGCCCTGTCCTCAAACAAAGAAGTCTGGGTTGGGCATTCCAGGGCTGTAATACTTACTTTTAGAGACATCTGAACCTTGCTGAAGATCTAGAGAAGCACGCCTAGGCTCTGTGACCCCTCACACTGGCTAAAGTTTCTAAGTCTAGTTTTATAAAAGGTGGAGATAATGCTTTGGTTTCAGGAAGGGAATAAATGATAAATTCCTCTATTCTCTCACCTTTTTACCATACATTCCTTTACACTGATTCTCATTTCCTTTCAGAAATGCTCCGTCCTGGAAGATTACTAAGCTGCTTGGTATTTTGAGTGCTAACTGGCTTTGAAGATTTTGCGGTTAGGTCTTATATTGGAGCCATGGACTGCTTTATTTTACTCTGAAGTTTACCCCCTCTACTGACATTTTAAACTATCTATTTTTATAGGGGCTAAATAAGTGGCAATTGGTGCGTGCGTGTGTGTGTGTGTGTGTGTGTGTATTTCTCTTGCCTTCCCTAACCTCCATGTGCTTCTGTCATGCCGCACTGGTCATAGCAATGATTAGAACACATTCAGTAAAGGGACTAAACCAAACACAACTACATAAATAACTTGTTGGAAAATGGCTCCCAAATGTCCAATTTAGAATATCCCCAATGTAGCAGGTTTGAGGGGTTGAGATGCTTTCGCTAATTTTAAGTGTCAGAGGACTGGCACAGCTAGGGAAACGAATATTCACTTACAGGATCGAAGGTGTCTTCAAGGCTGGAATTCCACATTGGTACCCTCTGAGCACAACAAGGAAGGCAGAAGAAAGAAGAAAAATGTGGCAAGGACTGGGATGGAGTAGGGAAGGAAGAGAAAGGCAAGGGAACGACTTGCAGTAACCAGGGGTGGCTAGTAGCCCCCAGGACATCAAGGCCACAGACTGTGTGAATCTAATTTGTAAATTTCTAAGTGCTAATTAAATGTGTTATTAGAACACAGGGTCCTTGGCTTGTATTTCTCTGTGTCTTCTCTCCCATCTCCCCTATCCTTATACCAAGGATCTAGCTCTGGAGCTGGTAGGATTTGAATAATAAAGATGCCCCAGAACAGGGGTCGAGTTTCTTCCTGAGGCATCTGAGGCTACTGAGGACCAAGGACATAGCAACAGTGATAATGATAATAACAGCTGACACCTGTAAGTGATAGACAGGCTGGGGCACTGCTGAGAGCAGCCATAACTAAGGAGTCCAAGTGTGGACTTGTCACAAGTCCAAATCAACCACCTGGGAAGACAGGATGCCAAACCTGGCAGAGGTCCAGCCAAGGAGTTGTCAGCTGCTCCCCAGCTGTAGGGGGTCGGTGATAGGAACCACCTCCCTCTTGTCCCTAGACAGGGCTAGGCTTACCCTGCCCATCACCAACAATTGACTGAATTCACTTTTTTTTCCCCAGGTTGGCTCAGGGTTTTTTGTTTTGTTGTGTTTGTTTGTTTATTTGTTTGTTTTGTTTTGGCCACTCAGCTCGCAGGATCTTAGTTCCCCAACCAGGGACTGAACCTGCGCCACCACAGTGAGGGCACCAAGTCCTAACCACTGGACAGCCAGGGAATTCCCCAAGTTCACATTTTAATACTAGCAGATTCCACACACCATCTCCAAGCCTGGAGCATGAAACACCAGGTATAATCAATGTATTCCCTCAAGTTGCTTTCACGTAGCTTTTCTTTAGACTCTGGGGGTGAGACTCGAAAAGAGAAGCAGTGAGGATGGAAGGATGGGAGCCACGTTCTCAGATGCTTCTTGAGAACGTCTGAGGACCACCTGAGAATGTCATCCACAGATCTGAAACTTGAGGCTTGCCGGCCTCAAACAGAAACAAGCTAGATTTTTAAATTCAGGAGTCCGCATTTTAGATTGTTTTGATGTCTGGCGAAAACACAAGTGAAAACAAAATGAAACAAAGCCCCATTCATGTATTCAGCACCTGAGGTAAGAGGAAGGACAAACCTTAATAATGTGGAGCTTGGGTAAGAGGTTACAGTCGGCTAGTGTGAGTTCATCCCCATCCAGGAACTTCCTTCCGGAAACAGTAACTTCCTTGGTGCTGTAGGCATCTATTTCATCAGGCAGAGGACTATTTAGATAATTATCCAGCTTCTTCAGGGCCTTTAAGAGGTTCCTTTCGTAAACTAGAACAGGAGGGCAAAAAATGACTAATGTGAGCCATGGGAGTTAGGGTCGCCTCTCTCTAGATACCGAAGACGGAGTTTGTCCCTTCCTTCCCGAGACAGGGCCAGTGAGCATTGGAGACTTGGGAAAGAGAGAGGTGGATTTACAAGATCTGAATAAAGGACTCACTTCTCCCTGGAAAGTAATTCTGCCATCTACACAACACTGCTACTCCTAGAACTCATTCATTTATTCAAAAATCTTTATGGAAATCACATAATGAAGTAAGCAGCAGTGGAAGCTTCATTCATACTGAGTCCCATGGTGCGGCAAGGAATCCCTGGAGGTGATTACTTTCCCCTAAAAATGTGGTTTTCTGGGCTCCCCACCTCTAGACGAAGCACTCAATCTCTTGAAACCCACGTGTCAATGTCAGAGGTACTTTTTCCTCATTTCTATGTACAGGTCCCTCCCCACTGTGAAACGAATCAGAATTCCCAAGGTCTTATAAGAAGCCACACCAGAGGCGGAGCGGAGGTCCAAGTAGAAAGCAGAAAACAGGAAGATGGGAGGGACTCACTCTCGTTTGCATCCTTCTTGGTGTTTTTAATAAAGGCTGAGAACTTGGCAAACACATCATTTCCAGCAGAGTTAGATTCAGCGTGTTGGGTCCCCAGCTTAGGGTACCTTGAAAAATTCAAAATGAGAGTATCACAGATCAGCCACGTTTGAGTTAGGAGAATACGATGTGAGGCAGGGGGAGGAAGTGACTTTCTCTGAGTGGATATAAACATGAAAACTGCCCCTTGAATGTTTGCCTAATCTTTCCATCTTCAAAGTTGAGAGCAACACCATCCAGGGGAAAAGCACTGGACAGACTGTTCTCATCCTGGGATGCAGGGCCCCACCTGGCCTTACTGGTCTAGTTCCCTCCCTCCTGAAATAGAGGTAATGGACTAGAAGGTTCCCTTCCAGGTCCAGCCCGCTGTGATGCTGCATAATAACACCTGCTCCCTACCTTCCAGCAGAAACGGCCCACCCACGTGACATCGGCCTACTTCCGCCCCACTTCCTGCCGTCAACCCCTAATTGCCAAACTGCAGGTGCAGAGCAAAGAAAGCCAAGCCACCTAAGCTCAGCGTTTCTAATCTTGCTGTGTTTTCTGTGGCACATCACAGGTACAACTCGGGAAATAGGTACCATGGCCAGAGAAAAACAACACACAGAATGGGGAGAAGTGACAAGCGAGTCGTGAACACGGGTTTTGATGAGGCCCACCTTGGGGGGGCTAACTTCTCCTCTAGGAACTCCTCGATCTTATTCACGTCCGTCTTGACCTCACCATCAAAAGTCATGAAAGGCGGGTTGGTGCCAGGAGCCAGGTTCTGCAGGTCCGCGGGTTTCCTGGGTGGGAGGGAAGGGCAGCGTTGGTAGCGCCACTGTTTGGATCATTTCCAAGGCTGAACTGTGTCCTCCCCAGTTTAAGAGAAACCACCCTTGAGAATTTCAAAGGCGATCGTGGGTTTACAAACTGTCCTACTGGTGAGGAAAGTGTGGCCCTTTATCTGGAGACGGAGGTGAAACGTTAACTCTCCCCAGTGTTATCAGCCAGGAGTGGTGATCGGACAGGCTGTTTCTTTTGGTTTGTTTGTTTTGCGGTACGTGGGCTTCTCACTGTTGTGGCCTCTCCCGTTGCGGAGCACAGGCTCCGGACGCACAGGCTCAGCGGCCATGGCTCACGGGCCCAGCCGCTCCGCGGCATGTGGGATCTTCCCAGACCGGGGCA